TCTCAGTCGCAGTAGAAATATCAAAAGAACACGTTTAGCTTCATAAGAAAATATACGAATTGCAAAAACACTGTTTTCATGTACGTCACATTGCCACTTTTATTTGATCTGCATAAGAATTATTTTTACCAAAATATTGTTCATAATGTTGCTGATTGTCTTTCAAATATTGACGCATCTCGTCAGCTGGTTTGTAGTTCTTTGGGATCCCGGAACGAGCGTGATTTCGTAAATATTCACTGATGGTCACATGATATTTAGCTAATTTTTGTTTGAATTCATAGCGTTCTAGTTGTCCATGGGATGGCAATAGACGATAATAGGCGTTCGATTTTTTCCCACCTGAATGTATTAGCATCGCTCTCATTGAAATCAGAAGACCTTCATCAGCTAGTTGCTGTAAACAAGACTGTCGTTCGTCGGCAGATGTACGTTGAAATGGCGTCTTTTTCTCTGTGCCAGGATGTTTCGCCAACCAGCCAAACATCAAAAAATTATGTGGAAAATCGACGAGAATGAATTGTTCAAGTGTACGGCGCTTGACGCATCCTATAACAAAAGAAAGTAGCGTGTCAATTGAAGGGCACATGTTATACAGATGTCTAAGTACCCTTTCGTACGTTAAAAGGTCTTGATAAATCTATATAACCAATTCTGTGACGCTTTTGTAAATCTGCATATAGTGGAACACCGATAGAATGCCACCCCACATTTTCATCCGTAACGGGTGGCGCATAAATAATGAGCCTCTCCGTATTTCGTCAATACCTCGGTGAGTTTTCATCGTAGAGACCTGGGCTTAGGCCCAAAAAATTCCTCGTTCAATTCTCTACAAAAACATATCAGACATGCATTTATAAGACATAATCCTGAAATCATAGCCGGTCAATACTGATGTGCTCCCAAAAAGACAACTTTCTAACTCTTGTTTACAGACGATTAATTATCTCTTTGCTTCTGTCTAATCCGACGCTGAGAGCCTCTAATCGTAGTTTTTCTATTTTTTCGAACGCGCTCTTTCTCACACCAGTCAAAACAATTTGTGTAGATAAGACAATGCGTTTCTAGGGCAGATTCCCTTGAAAACCTAGTATGAATCACCGAACATTTTCGTCTCGCGCGGTATGCACGACAAAACAAGATCTGTACGCCAGTTGGGTTGATTAGAAATGATAGAGAAAACACTTTTCTTCATCTTGGCAAAAAATTGGCAATAAAACTTTTATTTTGGCCTAACTATGTATTTTTTACAATGAACCCCATTAGCAAGCCGTAGAAAACCGAATATGAGAGAAAACCCAAAAGGTTCTGATCGCAAAGGTTTGGAATGAAAACAATGTCAATTGTCTGTGAATTGATAGAGCATTGCGAGCGTTATAAAATGGCACATTCAGGCTTTCTCTACGTGGCCAAAGAGTGTCAAAAAATACCAAGAAGACAGCAAATTGGTTAGAAAATTGTCTTTTTGGGAGCACATCAATGTTGACCGGCTATGATTTCTGGATTATGTCTTATAAATGCATGTCTGATATGTTTTTGTAGAGAATTGAACGGGGAATTTTTTGGGCCTAAGCCCAGGTCTCTACGATGAAAACTCACCGAGGTATTGACGAAATACGGAGAGGCTCATTATTTATGCGCCACCCGTTACATGAACATGGTTTGAATTTCAAAATCTCAGGATTTAACAACCAACTTTTCGAGCTAAAATTTGTTGCTTCAGCGAGGTTATCTGCCATATTAAATCCGTAGTGAAATGAGTTTGGAATGGTGACAATATATTGGCCAACTTGTTGTTGCACGTGTCGTACTTTAATGCCATGTTTTGTCAACACGCTAGGTGGCAAAAGAATGGTTTTATGTTGAATATATTGACTGCAACTTTTTTTCGAATTGTCAAGGCTTGTATCCAGCAGGCGGATTAGCGACGATTCGTCATGTTTATCAATAGTGTACCTCCAAAAACCAAATATACTTAGAACCTTACGATATCCACTCTCATCGTAGACGGCTTCCCTTCCTCTCATTCAAATTTTCTAATGGATATTTATTTTTGATATTTATCTTCTGCTTCGATATACATAATCTATCAGCGTAACATAGACGTCTTCCTTATGCATCTTAGATAGCGATTTGCTATATCTGATTCACAAAACACAGCGTTCTTATTCTCACCTCCAACGGTGAAGGATTACGGTGGTCAGGGCTTAAATTCTTACTCTGAATCATAGGTTTTGCAGTTTCGTAAATTATAAATATACGTACCATACTTTTGGGCCACCTTCATGCAAATAACTAATTGACGGCAAGTACAGATATTCTTTGTGCAGACCAAATGATGAGCCAGCAGAACCAACATATAAAAATGATGAATTGATGCCATCATATTACATAATGGGTTATTCAAAGCGCTCAGATTCCATTTTAATTCGTTTTTATCAAACAATGATCCCGGAACATCAACTGAATCCTCCCGAAAGAAATCATTATTATTACTTTATATGCACTTATATGATTGTACAAACCTTACCGCCATAAAATCTTTTTTCTTTTGTTACATTTTTCCAATACGTTTCTTCATTTAAAATTAGGCTCGATTTGCTCAATCTATGAAAGTCTTCGAGGCTTTTTACTGTTCGAGAATCTGTTGCGATCGTTAAAACACAATTTGAATTCTCAAACACTTGCTGTATTCGATATTCGAAAGCACCGGCATACTTCTTTTTTGATTTAACTTTTGAAGGCGGAGTAGCCACAAATAACCCATAAGGATAGTTCAAGGCTTCCAAAT